ATTTATTTTTTAGTTCTCGGCGGACACAACATCTTTGTTGGTATGTGGTGCTGAGGATCGAACCCGGGCCGCACGCATGCCAGGCGAGCGCTCTACCGCCTGAGCCACATTCCCAGCCCGCAGGCTGTTATTTATTCATTTATTTTTGTGGCCCTGGAATCGAATCCAGGGCCTTGTGGGGGCAAGCACTTGGCCCACCCAGCTCTGTCCCCAGCCCAGCTCAGGTTCTGGACAACACTTATTTTTTATGGACTCATTTTTCTGAGGGTCACTTAATGCATTAATTAATTCTTTTGGCAAAGCGGATCCCTTTTAAACCCCGGGAAGCCGGCCTGGGAGTTCTCCTGGGTTTCCCATTGACTGAGCAGGATCCCGAGGAAAGCGCGCCGTGGGCAGCRCGCCCTCGAGTGCGCGTGCCCGGCAGCAGGACCCCGCGCTGCGCCTACCTATGTACTGCTGGTGGTGCTGGCTCTGCGCGGCCATGGCCTGCTCCGGCGTGCTGTGCAGGCTGCTGTGGGAGCTGCCGTCCCCCAGGCTGTCCGCCTTCTGCGCTGGCCGGTACCTGGCAGGGGACACACGTGCCTCCATGAGGCCCCAGCAGCRGTGCCTGGGAAGGCCCAAGGAGCAGGGGCTGAGCAGGATTCAGTTTGGGTTATGTGCACAATTTTTAACCACGTTGTCAAGTCACCGACAACAACTCCTCCTGAGCCATTTCTCAGTGCTCACAGGCTGGGCAGCCATTACCCACCAGTCTCCCATCCCCTCCAGCCCCGGCTCCCACCCTGCCGCTTCCTCTCTCTGTGGATCCGAGACTCCAGGGACCTCCGGRTGGACCCTGCGGCATGCACTTTGTGTCTGGCTCATGTCCTCGGGTCCCTCCGAGCTGGAGTGGGGTCAGTGCCCTTCCTTCCTAAGGCAGACTCGTGCTCCACTGAGTGGACAGCCAGTGTGCCCACTGACTGCTGGTGACACTCGGGCTGGGTGTGCACACTCCCTCCCGCCTCTCGGTGGGTACCTGCACTCTCCCAGCTGCTATCCTATGGCCTCAAGGAAGGGTGGAGCCAGAGGGCAGGGGTGGCCTGTCCAGGCAGCTCACCCAGGGACAGGACCTGAGGAGGGAGGTCTCCCCAGACACCGTGCAGAGCAGGCAGTGCCAGAGCTGGCTGTACCTGTTCCCACTGGGCAGTGGGCAGTGGGGCGGGCCTCACGGGGAAGGACAAAGTGCCAGTTGGGTGTGGTGGACCACCTGGTGCAGGCTGTGGCTGCCCCCATGCAAGTCCGCAACCCTGTCCCCCGWGAGCTGCTCCTGAAACGACCCTTCCCAGAGTGGCAGGTGCCTGCCAGGGGCCAAAGCTGAACCAAGGAAGGGACAGGGTCCCTTGTGTGGGCAGAAAGGACGGGATGGGCCAGGGCTGCATTCTGGAGCCCCTCCTGTGCGAGCCGGTGCTCCTGGCCTGTGTGGGGGGCGCTGGAGAGCAGCCCTAGACCAGGGCCCAGAAACAAGGCCCCGGGTCAAGTCTGCCTCCTGTCTGCGGCCGTGCCACCACTCGCTGCCCCGCAGCGTCACCAGCGTCACCAGCATTGGCAGGCCTGCGCGGTGAAGGGTTTGCCTTAAAGGCTGGCGAAGTGTGCGACACACAGAGAAGAGACCATTCCAGAAACGACCGGCCGTCCCAGCCCCAGGGAGCAGTGGCCCCCTTCTCCGGGCGCCGGGCGCCGTGGCGGGTTTGCTGCGCCATTTCCCCTTAAGCTTGAGAAAGTGAAGAGTGTGACTCTGACTCCGACTCTGGGAAAGGCTGAATGATGGAGACSGCGACAGGATCGGTGGTTGCCAGGGCGGGGAGAGGGGGGGACACCAGGGCCGGGAGGCCGTGATGCCCCTCTGAGGCTGCCCTGGTGGAGACGTGTGGCTGGACACAGCAGAGGAGCCTGATGCGGACCGCGGGCCCAGTGACCAYGACGCGTCAGAGCAGGCCATCAGTGGGGGCTGTGGGGGACAGCGGTGGGGACTCTCTCTACTCCAGTCAGGGGCTGGAGACGCCTGGCTGCTGGAGGCTGCTGGCCTCACGGAGGCACTGGGCAGAGCTKCGAGTCCTGGTGCCCTGGATACTAGAGCAGGGTGGTCAACAGAAGCCCCTGGCCCACAAATGTCACCTTCAGGAAACTGCCCTCCTAGCTCTCCAGGGGGACCCAGCCTGACCCCCTCAGCTTGGGGACATCACCCACCTGGGCTTCTGGTGCAGGGGCTGCTGCCGCATGGCCATGTACTGCGTGTCCTCCTGCAGCCGGTTCAGCGGGGAGTCTGGCTTCAGGCGGATGCCATAGTAGTGGTACTTGGAGTTGCCCCTGGAGCAGATGGCCCAGGCTCAGTCCCTGCACACCTCAATCTAAAGGTGGCTCCTCACGGCCCTCTGCGTTTTCTAACCCGTGTGAGCAACGTTCACGGGGCATTCTCACCCCGTCCCTGGTGGCAAGTCCCCTCTTTTTTAGTATCATAAAGGCTCTGAGAAGTCCTGCAGCAAGCAATCCAGGCCAGCTTGCCTAACCCCCATGCCCCCTGGGGACCGTCATTATTAACAACTCCGGGTTCGTTATGGGGAAAATGATGACCAGAGGGCTTTAAATAATTTTGTTAAGGGGACCAGAGAGCTGCATGGGACCTAGAATTGGCCAACAGGTGGAGCTGTGCAGACTTTCTGGCTCCTGAAGCCACGCTCCGGAAGCTGGGGACAGGCACCCTGGCTCTTTCTAGAAGAGGTGTGTGCTCAGCTGGGTGGAGACAGGCAGAGCTGGCCGTGACCCCGAGGCCTGGGGCCTGTCCTTCCCCTGGACTCTGCTCTGCTCTCTCGGGCCCCTGCCGCTGCCAAGCCTGGCTGGCCACAGGGTCACCTTATGGATGCTCCAGGCCACTGGCTTGGACCTGGCCGGGCGGCCTTTTCTGCTGGTAAGGGGAGCTGCCCGGCTGGGGGACGAGCCCACCGCCTGTGGTATTCCAMGGCCGCTGCTGGCCCGGGAGAGGATGTGGGAGAGGCCATGGGAGGTGGGCAGGCATCCAGAAAGGGCAGATAACCTGGGGCTGCCTCCCACAGCAAAAATAAAAGCTTGCGATTATGAGGAATTTCAAACAGAGAGAAAACCTCAACCATCACCGGCTTCTAAAGGAAAAAATGGGGCCATGGCTCCCAGTTCACCCGGCGGGTTCCCCCCGGGTGCCAAGAAGCCCATTTCCAGAAAAAAGGAAGAGGGGGGGATGTGGGTGGTCAGACACGGGTGGACCCACCTGGTCCCCAGCCGCCGGGTCCGCAGCCCCATGAACACGGAGCGGATCAGCTTCCCGAAGGACGCGGCGTTCACGGGGTCCAGCTTGTGCTCCTGGCAGTGCCGCAGGTAGTGGCTGTACAGGGAGCTCCTGGGCAGGCTCACGCCCTCGGCGGTCTCGTAATTGTCCAGCAGCCACTGGAGCTGGGGAGAGACGCGTGGCTCTTCAGAACCCAGGACCCAGTGCCACGTGGACATGGGACCCAAGGGCCTGCTCTCCCTTTCCGAGCAACCGCCAGGGCCCACGCCACCCTGGCTGCCAGGGCTGAGACCTCTGGGCCACCAGCAAATGGCTTCTTCTCCTTGGTCCATTCGTCCCCTGCTCGGCCAGCCCCGCTCTTGGGCTCCTGACTTACGCGTTGCGATGGCATGTGACCCAGAGAGAGATGAGGCCTCACGGTGGCTTGCTCCACCACGCAGCCCCACCATGCGCCCTCAGCGCACAGGACGCCAGGCACTTCTGAGGCCACAGGGCCCGGGCAGGTGGGGCGGAGCCTGCACCCCGGGGCACACGGTGACAAGACCGCGACGGAGAGGCCCCATGAGGCCCCACGCCCGGCCTGCATGGAGCACGGTCACTCCAGCTCGGTCTGTGCAAGACGCCACAGGGCAGAAGCTGAGGGCGCTGCTAGGGCCCAGGGGAAGGGCCAGCCCCAGAGCTTTGCTGCCTCTGGGCAGGCGCAGGGGCTCAGCGAGCCCCTCCCACTCAGCTCTGCAGGTCAGAAGCCTCCTTCCTGAAGGGACCCCACACAGCAGCCGCCTCACCAAGTGTCCTGACGCTGCCCAGAGGCCAGGAGCCAAAGCCAAGGCGCAAGGATGGAGCTGTGAGGGGGAAGAGGCCTTCACCAGGCCCATCCCGGCCGCCCCGCCTGGGGTAGGCAGTGCTGCCTCCAGCCCCCTGCGCCACGCACTGCTGACCTGCAGGACCCGTGGTGGCGTCTCCCCTGCGCTCTGCGCTGCCTGCCTTGCCCCTGCCCACCTGCCCCCTCGAGGTCCTTCCTTCTCCATCCCTGGGGCTGCCCCCTGCCCCCTGCAGGTGGGAGAGACGTGGGAGATCCAGCCGACGGAGCAGAGGCCTCAACAGAAAGGCAGCCGCCAAGAGGCCTCAACAGAAAGGCAGGCGCCAAGAAGTGGGTGGCGGGGGGCTGCTGGCCAGACTGGGCCAAGCGCAGGCGCTCTCTCATCCTGGGGGCGGGGAGCCTGGGCCTCTGCGCTGGAAGCAGGGCAGGAGGGTGGCCAGTCCTGCCCCGGGGCCCAGGCCCTATGCAAACACAGGGGCTTGGGGGCCTCTCTGCTGCCACTCGCTCTGCAGGTCAGCAGAACCGGGGGCCATCTCTCCCTGCTGTCCCCACAGGCCTGCCTCCCACAGCCTGGATGTGGATCCCCGTGTGGCCTTCTGTGGTCTGCAAGGTCCCCTTCCCTGGCTGTGACCACTGGTGACTAATTAGCAGCTGTCCATCTCATGTGTCCAGTGTGGGTGCTGTGGCCCTGGGGAGCAGGGACTCAGGCCCTCATCCAAGGAAGGGAGGTGGAGGACAGGTGGCGGTCAAGGGCTGAGGCCTGTGAGCTGGGGCAGCGGGAAGGGCCCAGGAGGAGAGCATCTTCCTCACCTCCTTGGGCTTCACTTCCGCAGCCCCGTGCTGACTGCTGGCCTCCCCACACCCCTGCCCGCCCTCTGCTGACACCATCGGTGGCAGGTGCCTGTCTCTGTCCCAGAGTCTCTCTGGCCAGGGCCTCCTGAGCYCTGTCACTCCATGTGATCTCAGGAYAGGGCCACACTGTCCAAGCGAGTCCAACTGAACCTCTGAGGCTCTGCCCTCTTACCTCTCAGGGCACAGCCCTGCTCTGCACACCAAGGCGGCCACAGTGACCAACCTGCACTCCCCCCCCCCGTGTCCCCTCCCCTGCGCTTGTTGACTGCTCGTCTCCCCTGGGCACGCAATCCCCARGGCAGGGATGAGATGGCTGTCCCTGTTTGTCCCCCAGGACTCTGAAGACATCTGAGAATGACAGCCAACACAGATCACCTGGAGGAATGAGGATGGGTTGCCTGGCTGGGCAGTGGCCACACCTGTGACCCCAGCGGCTCGGGAGGCCAACAAGGAAGGAGGATCAGGAGTTCAAAGCCAGCCTCAGCCAAATCAAGGCGCTCAGCAACTCAGTGAGACCCTGACTCCAAATAAAATACAAAATAGGGCTGGGGATGCGGCTCAGTGGCTGAGCCCCGAGTTCCATCCCTGGTACCACCCCCCAAAAAAAMCCCAAAAATAAAAACAGGGGTGCCTGAACAGAAAGGGGACAGAGCCAGCAGACAGCATCTGGGTACTGAGGCCAGGGGAAGTTCTTCCGTGTCACCCCACGGTGGGGAGCAAAGGTGCACTCTCAGGTCATTCTCTGAGGTGGCGGGAGCCAGGCCCAGCAGTCCAATGTCCTGAGGCTGAACGCGTCAGCCAGTCGGGCAGGAGCTCCTGGGGAGCAGGTGTCATGGGGGCCGTCTGGAGGGCACTGCACGCTGGCCTAGGGGACACCAGGCTGGTGCCAGCTGGACACAACTGCTTCACACATCAGAGGAGAGGCTTGGCAAGAGGAGGCTCCGCCCCTCACCCCTGCTGGGGTCACTGTGGTGCTGAYGTCAAAGGGGGCGCGGCGCAGGCAGAGGCAGCTCCGCTTGGGCAGGGTGGGCCGTTCTCCAGAACGAGTGACGGCCCTCTCTCTCCCGTCTGGTGGCCTCCTGGCGGGCAGGCCAGGCTGCGCTCTGACCACTTACAGACTCCGCCTGGCTACACCTGGGGGACTGTGAGCGGCTCCGGGGCCCAGGCTGCAGGTCAGGAGCTGGGGACCAGCATCCAGCACCCCAGCAAGAGCCCTGTGAGCTCATCCTCCCGACTGTGCCTGCCTCGCCCGYCGCAGAGGTCCCCCTCCTGGCCTGGCACGCTCAGGAGCGGACAGGGCTGGACAGATGGCCTTGCAGGTTCTGGGTATCTGTGGTCGGTCTGGGCTGTGCTAGATCCACATCAACGGGACGTGGAGAACGCTTTCCCAGGGCACGTACTCATGGAGCCCTGCTGGCCCGTGGTGCTCGCCGCTTGGCCAAAGGCTAAATGCTGCCTTTTATGGAGAACCTCGAGCACGAAGCTYGCCCTGCGGCTTTGGGCTCTGCAGCCACAGCCCCTGTGGAAGGGTGTCCCTCCTTCAAAATGGGAAGGCAGGGCTCACGTCCACACTGCACTCAGCCCACCCCTTGTGCTCCAGGGCTCTTGTTCCCACTATGGCCACCTGTTCCTCACCAACTGGACACGCTTGGAGAGACGTGCCCTTTGACTTCCTCGTTGTGCCAACACCACTGCGTGCAGGTGCATGTGGGAGAGGGCACACCTGGTAGGTGCCTAGGCTGCACGGCACACACAGCCCTGTAGTCCTATTGCCCCAAGTGCCACTCTGCCATTCGTGACGACATTGGGGCGAACGCAGCCGAGGCTGGTCCTGACTGGCCGAGTGAGGTCTCGYTGGGCCACACGCCACAGCTGGGCAGCCTTTCTGAGCCCCAGTGATTGCCGTGTGGATGATCAAACTTTGGACACCTCCTTCCTTTTCACCCACTCATTGACTATCCACTGCCGGTGGACTCAGGCCAGGCCCTGTTCTGGTGCTGCAAGCTGACCACACACAAAGACGCAGCACCCTGCCTTCCACAAGCAGCCACTTTAGGGCCGAGACCCACAGTAAGCAAGAAAGATGCACAGAGCGAGGGACGGTGTGACGTGCTGCGAGGGCAGGGGAAGGCAGGGGAGGGCAGGAAGGTTCCCTGAGAAAGCACCCAGTAAGAAAGGGCGTGAGGGTGAGTGGGCCACCGTGGGGAGCAGCGTTCTAGGAGAAGGGCACAGCCTGTGCCAAGGCCCTGAGGCAGGGCGAGCCCGGCACGTTGGAGGAGGAGCCAGGAGCCCCAGTGACTAAAGTAGGGGGAGGGAGGGGGAGCGAGGGAGGCCAGGAGGCCAGGAGGCCAGGAGGGGACGGCGGATCATGCAGGCACTTGTGGACCGTGGGGAGGGCTTGGGCTTTGACCCCAGCGAAGGTGGGAGCCATGGAGGCTTCTGAGCAGAGCAGTGCCGTATCCACCGTAGGACCCTGGTGGCTGCCGTGAGAGGGACTGGAGCTGGCGGGGCTGGCTGGGAGTGGCCGGGGCCGACGGTGGGGAGGTGGCGCAGGGGAGGCTCTGACTCTGGACCTTCCTGAAGGGGGCTGGAGAGCACTGGAGGCAGGTGTGGAGGAGGGGGCAGCGGGGCCAGGGGCTGAGCACCTGAAGGCACTGTTCCTGCGTGGCGGTGGGGGGTCCGGGCCAGGAGGTCCTGGAAGGGCCAGGAGCTGGTTCAAGCAGTGGGTAGACGGGTGAGGGTAGAGTCGGGGAGCCGGCGGGCGGCAGGAGCACTAGTCACTGCCAGGAGCCTGTCGCGCTGGCGGGAAGCAGGCTTTGGACAAGGGCGCTGCCCGAGCTGGGACCCGGGGACGGGGTCAGGCCTGGTCTCCGGCTGGGCAGTGGGGGAGCCAGGCTTGGCGGGAGGTCTCAGGTCTYAGTGTGCTCTCCTGGGGGTCGTGGGGCCCCTCTCTTATCCACACCTGGCCACAAGGGGWGTGGTCCTCCTGCACCGGGCTCCCACCAGGCCGAGCTTCGAGGCCACAGGCCCGACAGTGCCACCCGCGGGTCACGGACTGCGTGCAGACACACCCCATGTTACAGCAAGGCAGTGGCTCCCACAGGCGCCCCGTGGTGCGGCAGAGCCTGGCCCTCGGGGAACAGCTGCCATCATGGCAGCCCACACCTGGACGCCAGGTGGCAACTAAAGGACCTTTGATTATTTGTTTCTTGATTTAAAACACAAAAGCCCAATGATCAGAACCACCCATCTAAAGCCCTCCCCCTTCCCCCGGGTGTGGAAACGCTAAGAGCACATCTTATTGGACAGGGACTGCTTTGCTGTGGGCTCCCAGTGTCAGCTGGCCGCGGGGACACAGCCCCTAGAGGGGCCGGGCGCTTCCTGTGCTGTGGCGGCCCACGGCAGCTGCTCAGTGGCGCCTCCTCCTCTGCCTSTTCCCTGCACAAAGGCTGCTCCCTGTTTCGGGCCCTGCCCAGTGGGGCCCACCTGGGCCGCCTCCTTTGGAGGTGCTATGCCACTTGGTTCTGCCTGGATGGACTCTTCCTGTGGGGGGGCAGCTCCCTGGGCCTGCAGGCCTCCCGGGTCCCAGCCCCCCGTGGGGGGAGTGGGCAGCTCCCAGGCACCCAGCTGGGTCTGGGAGAAGCTGCTTGTCTGACTCGGGCACCGAGGAAGCATGGCTGCAGGCGCACCAACCAACCAGCTCCTCTGGCAGCCCCGGGGGGGCCTGGGCACACGGAGGGCACTGGGTGTGGCCTCTGCACTTCCCACTCCTGCCCTCCAGTGCCGGGCTCCTCAGGGTGCTTCCCCTCTGCTTTGCTCGGTGCTGACCTGGCTAGCACCCTGCCCACAGCAGACGGTGACTGGTGTCACTGTGTGGCCGCAGAACACAGGCAAGGTCTTGCCACTGGTGAGGCTCCCTGACCTGGCCAGGATCCTTGAGGGGGTGATTGCTGCGAGGCCACCAGAACATGGGCCCACCTCCCCAGGCCGGGCTGCCCAGGAGCTGGGCTGACACCCCCGAGCACTTCTAGAAGGCCGCTGCCCACCACAGGAGCCATCCCAGCCCAGGCAGCCCGGGGAGGCTGTGGTGAGCGCGTGTGGCCTGGCGGAGGACCTGGCGGAGGACCTGGCGCACGACGGGCCGGCTTAGCTGCCCCTGCCCTCCGGCGCTCTGGCTGGCCAGGTCAAGATCCAGGCTGGTTCACTCCTGCCCAAGCCAGCGTCTGCGGACCACCTCGAAGAAGGGACCCAGGGCAGATGCGTGTGGCTGGCTGGCCACCTGTCAACCTCCCACGACACACGCCCACCCGCCTCCGCAGTGCTCTCTCCTCCAGGCCCGCAGGTCGCTGCTGCCCACCGGCTCCTCGCCTGTGCCCTTCCGCTCAGCATTCCTCCCTCTAGGCCCTGTCCAAGGCAGGACATCGTCCAGGGCCACCTTCCACTCCCCCTGCAGGGGGTGGGTGCTGAGCTGGGGCCTTTTCTGTTTCTATTCGCGCCTGAGTCCCTGGTGGAAGGAGGCTCTTGCCTACAGTGACAGGCCTCTGAGTTGCTCCGGGGGCTGCCTGGAGCCGCTGGCCACACCTGCACCACCCACAGACCCAGCTTCGGACGTTTCTCTAGATGCAAGGAAGTCCTGAGTCATGGTCAGTGGATTTGACCAAAGGTCAAACCTTTTTCCCTTTGAAGTTGTGTTCTCAGGAAAAAATCCTGTCCAGTGGCCGAYGGCCAGAGGCATGCTCTGAGCTCAGGGGCAGGGGTCAGCTCTAAAATGCCACACCCCCTTCCCACTGCGGGCAAACCTCCGGGAGCATTTGAAGAAAAGGCTTCCCTCCTAACTGTCCTGCCATGGAGCCCTAAGCCAGCCCCTCCTTCAGGCCTGGCCAGCCACACGGCTGCCCAGGCAGGGATAGTCTGGGCCTCCTGGACTGGCCTGAAGTCCGTTTCCTCCCCAGGGGCAGCGGAAGAGGAAAGCCCAGGGAGCTAGAGTCAGCAGGAATAACTTGCTTTATACTTTTCTCCAATCACCATTTCTGCAAAGAGCTGACCCAGGAACAAGAGCTAAGAGTCTCTGCGGCACTCCTGTCCCTGCTCTACGGCTTGTTTCAGGGTCGTTTCCTTTTTGATTTGGCACACTGCGGCTGACCTGCCAGGCCCTGCTGGAGTCTCCAAGCTCAGTAGTGGCTGGCCCCAGGGAAGCCCAGGCCGCGTGCCACCACCAGGTCCCTCTATTTCGCAGTGCTGGGATGAGCCTGGCCTCCACGTGCCAGGCAGGCGCTCCCCCGGGGTGCACATCCCTGGCTGTGGGAGGTGGCTTGGCTGGGATTGTGTTCTGACCCCCCCCCCCCCCCGGCACTCTTCAGATGTCACCTCACTATTTGCTTTTAAAGGGTCTGGAGAGCTGCGAGCAGAGCGGGCGAGCGGGCGAGCGGGCGGAGCGCAGGCGGACACACACTTACATGGCTGTTGAGTAAGCCGCTTTTGTGTGGTGTGATTCCTTCGCTTTTTTGGAGGTTTTCAATCGCCATTTCAAGCTAAAGAAAATGTGCAGAAACAAAACAAAACAAAACAAAGTGGAAGGAAAAAGAGGAGATGAGATGGTTAGCATCAGCCCCGACCTGCCTTCTGCCAACACCCAAACTCTAGCTCCTCCGACTTYGGGAGAGGCTCGACCCAGGAGGGGAGGTCCGTCCACAGTGGCGAGCAGAGCCGAGGCCACCTCCTGCAGCACATGCACCAGAGCCTGAGGGACAGGAGCAGCGGAGCYGCGCCCCGCAGCCTGGTGCGGCATCCGGACACAGCCCTGCACGTGCGCATGCAGACCAGATTAATACACAGCCACAGAGGAAGTGTCAGCAAAGCCAGCGTCGCCGTCCCCACACGCCTCCCCCACCACATCTGCTGCTCGGGAGGGTCAGGCCATCGCACCAGGGTGGGTGGCCACGTTGACATCTGGGCCAGCCCAACTGGTTGCAAAGCCCAGAGCTGGATGCTTTGTGAAAATACCAACGAGGCCAGAGACACAGGCCCTGCCAGGCCCTGGGCCCCTGCAGCCCAGAAGTTGACCCCTGACCACCTACGGATCCATGCTGTGCGGAGAGGGAGGCATGGAGGACAGACCTGCGRGAGGGCCTGGCTACTGTGAGGGCTTCCTGGGGCTCTGAGGCCAGGCGGTGGGCACGGGGGACAGGAATGTGCTCAGAAGGACAGGAGRGAACACCAGCCGTGCACAGTTGCCACCACATTTACACGTTTTGAATGTGACCCCGATTCCTATCTGGAAATTGGGTGTTTAGAATCTGCTGTGGCCACCATGACRGGCAGGGGGACACGAGGAAGGGCAGAAGCCCAGAGCTCCTCTCCACCCCCGGAACAGCTGGGGAGGCAGAGGCCTCAGCGTCCCTGGGAACAGCAAGAGGGTGGACTTCAGGGAGGGGTCCTGGGCTGGGGGAGGCAGCAGGCAACGGCATGTCCCCTGCCCAATCTGGACCACTGTGCTTCTGCTTTCTGTCATCAGTGACATGTGCTACCAGCCAGAGAGGACACCACGGTCACCCTGAAGGTGCCGTGGAGCAGCAAGGAAGGCGGAAGGCAGACTTCCCCACCCCTCAGCCCCAGCACAGCCACCRGGAGGCACACCGCCTCGATGGCAGTGGGAAGGCACAGAGCTCCTGGGCCTGGAGCCAGCCTGCCCTGCGCTGGGCCCGAGTGGCTCTACCCGCCCTGGCCACCCTCGGGAAGTGGCCCTGTGGGGCGGGGTGGCCTGTGCGTGCCCAGCACCAGGAAAGAGGTCACACYCTATTGTAGTCTCCTCTGCACTATTAAAGTCGAGTGACACCCTGCCCCCCTAAAGGAGCTCTTTAAAAGAGTTAAATCTATCAATATTTCCCATTTTAAGAATTGTGAAAGTAAATTTAAAAAGTATCTATTAATTCATTTTAAAATAATAAGCCCATCACTGGTTAACATAGATAACCCTTTAAAATGAAGAATAGCTGTGTTTCCCAAAGCACATGAGAAGACAGGCTCGTTTCTGTCTCCCCACGTCTCTCTGCCGCTGAGTGGAAGACGAGCGCCATGCCCGCATCTGCACTGTCACATCTGCTGTCAATTTTTTCAAAAAAATATTTTAAATATTTTTTTAGTTGTTGATGGWCCTTCATTTTATTTATTTGTTTATATGTGGTGCTGAGACTCRAACCCAGTGCCTCACACATGCTAGGCAAGTGCYCTTCCACTGAGCCCCAGCCCCAGCCCACAGTCTGCTGTTTGAGATGCGCAGCCCTAAGAGAAACATGACTTRCTTGACGTTCCAGGCAATCCTGGACACCTTTACTTGATACTACACCAAACTGCGACAACYGGCAGTTTCTTACAGAGCTCTGGTATCCTCTCTGGCTGGTGCCAGATATCACTGATGACAGTGTGGAGAGCAGTGACAGTGATTGGGAGACCAGTGTCTGAGATTGGGGTCCCTGATGACTTCATGGCTGTGGCATGCTTGGTGACTGGGAAAGTTTCTGTGCCAAGGTGTAGGATGCCTGGTTGCTATGGCAATGCTCTCCATGGGGACACTCTGTTGCTAGAGTCTTATCAGCTTCGACCTTGCTCTCAGGCACACAGCTCCTGGGAATGAAGGAACTTCCCTGCTAAGATAACCACAATGGTTTGTCAGTTCTGCTGCTCCTGAATCTGCCTGAGAATTAGTAACTTTAAACAGTGGACTTTCTTGAGAGCTGCACAATGCTCCTAACATTGCACACTGAAACTGTAGAATGTAACTGTTGCTAACTCTGTAACTTTCATGAGTACAAAAAATAATGCTTGCATAGTCTTCAATCTGCTTAATGAGACATATAATAAAGATTGCTGGTGTAATTCTTTAGACCTGCCTCCCCATCAGAGAGCAGTGCTCCACCAGATCCCAGCTTTATCTTCAAGATCTGCRTGTGTGACTCTTTATTTTTTCTAATCTCCCATCACCCCTTGCCAGAATCTGCTAGTTTGGCTGCACTGGTCAGTTGCAGCACTCCAGTATGGAACCTGGCACCATATCAAGAAGCTCTTCACACTCAGGCACGTTACAAAATGTAAATGACATCAGTGAGAAAGGTGGAGTAGAGCAAGGACCAGGTCTCCACCAAAGTCCTGAATAAATGGGCAAACCCCACTGTACCCAACTTTATCCAAAGTCTGGAAATTTAAAAAAGTTTATAGCAACCAGGTGGATCCTTCACCAAGAAATAGCTGAAACTTGGCCTGAAAGGGAACCTCTGTGACATCACTGGCTGACCAAATRGAAATCCCAGTGGCCCCCACGACAGCATGCACAGATTTCACAAAAGCGGTCCAGGAAGCCCGATAAACAGTCCACAACAACTACACAGCAATGATAGACCCTGGAGAGGACAGCGGATCCAAAATCCAGAGTTGCCCCCTTATTTATTTATTTTTATACCTTTATTTTACTTATTTATGTGGTGCCTCATACACACAAGGCAAGTGCTCAACCCCTGAGCCACAACCGTGGCCCGAGTTGCCCCTTTTAACATTAAAGATATCCAGTCCTCCACAAGCAACACCGACAAAAAGGGAACCAACAGAGCCACCTGGGGAAGCCCAGACGTTGTCTTTATGACGCGAGGAGTTTAAGGCTACTGTATGTGCTCCAAGGACTCACAGAGACCAGGGGAACGCGGTCTTGCCACATAGAGAATAGCCACAAGGAGGCATTACAAAGAGGAACCAAACTCAAATCACAGACTTGAAAATCCATTGGAAGATACGATGGTTGGAAAGCCTCATATTTGATGAAAGACATGAATACACACATCAAAAATCTCCATAAAGCTTGGGATACAGCATCTCAAGACCTGGCAGGGATGGCAGAGAGAATGAGCTTCCAGAGCCCCCCAGACAACCGACCAACATCCCACCAGCTGTCTCACAGTAAGCCTGGGGGCTTCTCTGGGCCCCTTGCCCTTGGGCCTGGAGTGGTAATGAAGGAACAGGCTGCCACTCTGGAAGCATGGAAGTCACTCTTTCTCTGAGCTCATCAGTGTGTGAAAACGAACATTCTACTTCTAATGACCCCACCGAGCAAGCCTCCTAGGGAGGGTCCCTCTGCCACAGTCCAGTGTGTCTCTAGCTGACAAGGGCATCACCAGGCTGGGCTGGCCAGGATTTGTACTGGGTGACGGGGCCCTGCCTCCCGGGAGAGTCATCAGCAGTGGGAGTGGACAATGGTCCCGAAGACCCAGACAGGAGACCAGAGAGACAGGGGCCTGCTGTTAGACTCRCTGCAGCTGACCATCTCTTCAAAACTACAGCTTAGCCACGCTACCCTAGAAGGAGCTAATAAAAGTTTAAATATGTTATGAGCAGAACCCTCAAGATTCTTTATTAAAAAATTCAGAATGTTTTCACAGGAGGAGGGACAATTGGAAGATAAGGGCAGAGGGACAAATCTTAGAATTAGGTTAGAAAAGGGAAAAGCCGGACGTCCTGGTCCAGGTGGGAGGGACCCGTGGGGCTCGGGGCTGAGAGGGCGACAGGCATCCTTGCTCTGCCCGTCTGCACCTGCCTGGCCCAGGAGGYGCTGGTGGGGGACCGGTGTGCAGCCTTTCAGGTTCACCTGGGMACTTCCACATGCGCCTCCATGACTGGTCACTTTGGCGACTTGGGTTCAGAGTTCAGTGYTCCACGGCCTCCTTCCAAACCAGCCCAAACCAGCTGTGGCGGCCCGGATCCCACACGGCTGACTTCTCAGTACCCCCTGAGACGCCAGATTCAGCCTTCAATCCAGGGTTGAGGTGAGGTGTCGAGAGGCAGGACAAGGTGGGACCCTTGAGGGACCAGGGCTCTCCCCTGGTGACTGGACTAGCCACTTGGGGGTTAGCGGTCACCTTCAGAGTGGGTCTGCYACCAGAGCCTGTTTGGCTGGATCTCCTGCTCTCTCTGCCCTCACCAGGTGACATCCTGTGTCATGCCAGTTCTCTGCCAGCATGAAGGCCATCCCCAGATGTGGGGCCCGTCCTCAGACCAGAACTGTGAGCCCAAACGAACCCCATCCGTGGTCCTGAGTTAWAAGCAGCAGAACGTGGAGTGAGAGCCAAACAGGAGACTTTGGTGCACGTGTGGTGGGTGTGACGGGTGGTGGCCAGGGCCAGCTGGGTGTTGGAAGCAGGTGGCTGCCCTGACGACACGGGAAGGTCACTCCAGGTGACRTCACGGCACATCTCAGGCTGGTCCTGGAGAGCTGGCACCCAGCAGTTCTTTGGCKGTGCCAGGGATGGAACCCAGGGCCTCGCACGTGCCAGGGAAGTGCCCACCGTGAGCCCCACCACCGCCCACTGTGAGTCCTGGGGTCGGGGACCAGGTTCTGAAGGAGACCCTGAGAGTCCTGCAGGCTGGCCGCCGCAGTGCCAGCTCTTCTGTACATAACGACTTCCTCACGCAGGTAGAAGAGGATGCTGCACATCGGAGCCAGGGCCTCAGAGCTGCAGAGAGGTTCTGCTTACAGCTGAGGCAGCGGAAGGACCCGTGTCCCCAGCATGCTCTCCCTGGAGGAGCCTGTCCTGCCCTCTGCCATCAGGGCCACCCAGGAGTCTCGGAAGTCAGGACGAGTCCCCGAGGGAGGCTGCTGGGCCTCTCTCCAGTTTCTGGTTAATCCCAACATCCCGATATACTCTGCCAGGACTGTGACGGCGACTGGGACTCCTGGGCAGGACTCGGCCCAGCTGTGCACCTGGCACACCAGGACACCCTGAAGAGAGACTGCAGCCCCTCCTGCTCGTGGCCAGACGGTTCAACTCTAAGCCCCTTTGTCCTCGCCAGCCCCCAGGAGCCCTGTGGGGGGCTGTGGTCTGGCGTGGTCTCGTGTGTGGTCTCTGGGTCCCTCCGAGGGCAGCTGCCGGCTGCAGGGGTCCTCCTCAGGCTGCAGTGTCCTGCATCCTTCCCTGGACAGAGCCCCGGGCTGAGGCCTCCGTGAGAGCACCCCCTCAGGTGGCTACTGGGCTCAMGTGGCTAAAAAAGGACATCAGCAAGTTCCCACCCAACACTAACCATCTAGGCCATCAGYGTGCCACCAGGCGGCCAGTCACAGGGGCTGCAGGTGGCCCTGCTTCCGTCTCCAGACTATTTTCAGGGTTCATTTAAAGTCTCATGACACAAACCCCGAGGTGCACCATCGGCAGGCGGCAGGGTCAGCCTGGGCGTCTGCTGCTTCTCGGGGCTGCCCCTCCTCCTGCTCTTAGCCCCTGGACGGTCCCTTGGGCCTCGGTGCTGTCCTCGTGAGGTGTCTCCATGCCAAACAAGTCAAGGGACGACGCAGCGTGGGCGGTAGTGGGGCTGCGATTCTCAGCTGGGAGATGGAACCCACGGTGACTGGAGGGACATGCGGGAGAGGGAGGGAGAGACCACGCCTGCTCCTAGGTTTCTCATTGGTTTAAAACTTCAATTATTCCAAAGCAACTGGGACAGCTGTGGACCTGGGAGGCAGGTCCCAGCAGCACTCYGACTTCCACAGGGCTGCTGGAGGGGGCACCCCGAGGCTGCTCATGGGGGGACCGTGGCCCCAGCCCGTCCTACTATACAAGCTGGTGCCTGTTCCAAGGCCAAGCCTGCCCCATGCATGGACGTCAACGCAGGCTGCGAGGAGAGGTTCTAGTCAATGAATCCCAATAAGTCCCTCCCGGCCAGTCCTTGAGGCGCGCCTGGCCCCCGTGGCCACCCAGGCTCTGGCTGCTGATGGGGCTGGGCACGCGCTGGTACACCTTGGATGAGCAGCAGCAAGCACATCCCACAGTGTCACAGCCCCTAGGAAGCAAGTGACTTCTCTCCAGGGCAGGGGCCAGGGCCGCGCCTGCCCTCAGCACTGGGTTCTAGGAGTCACTCGGAGGCAGGAAGAGGACAGCAGACTCAGAGGCCTCGCTGAAGTCAGGGTGACCCACAAACACCCAGACCAAGGGAACAGGGACAAGACCAGACTGTCACTTTCTAGTTGAGGAGATTAGCCTCACACCAAAATAAGAAGGCATTGCCTAGGTGGCAGTCCGTCAGGGCGATCACTCCTTCACGCCGAGCAGGAGGGAGACGGCCACCCTGTCAGCTGAGAACGAGCGTCTCACAGAATTCTACGTCTGTTCAAAGAGACACCCAGAAACTAGCAGTAGAGGCCCCGGAGGGCCTAGGAGTCGGCCAGGCTCAGCAGCAGGCCCGAGGCTCCCAGGCTCCTGAGTTGCCGGGCAGGACACSGGGCTTCCAGCCCCGCCCGCGCTGACTGGAGCCCTGGCAGTGCCAGGTCGAGAGGAAGGAAGGGACACCCGGTGGAAGGAAGGGGAGCGCTTATATTTTCAGACAATAACAACGGAACAAAACAGTGTGTTCAGCAAGGCTGCAGAATACGACGCCAACGGCCAGACACCAGCTGCATTTTCATATTTAGCAATGAGCAGTTGGAAACTGAAATTCCAAAATTGCTATGGCTCACAGTAGGTTCARAACCATGAAGCTCTGGGAATGAATCTAAGAAGCACATGTAGGATCCATACGTTGAAAATCGCAAAATGCTGATGAACGAATTCAAAGAATTTAAATAATGGATCGGAAGACTCAGCATAGTGGAGATGTTGATTTCCCCAAACTGATGGACAGACTGGACGCAACTCATCAAAGTCCAGTGGCATTTCTGCATTTGTAGATAAGTTGACATAAGACCCAGAGAGGCTGGGCTGCAGCTCAGTGGCAGAGCTCTTACCTGGCATGTGTGAGGTGCTGGGTTCGACCCCCGGCACCACATAAAAATAAACAAAATAAAGGCATTGTGCCCATCTACCATTATAAAAAAAGATTTTTTTAAAAAAAGAAAGTCTCATAGAAACTTTCAGTTCACACAGCACCAGCACGCGCCGAGGGAGCAGCGCCATGCCATCACACGCCTCCTGCCCAGCTGTGGTGGTCAGGCCGGGGGCTGGTGGCGATGGACAGGCACATGGATCCGCGGATCAGGGCAGACACCCTGAAGCAGGTGGCCCACTGATGTTGGACAAAGGTATAAAAGCAATCCAAAGGAGAAAGGATGGCTTTTTGTTTGTTTTTATTTTTCGGCTTTTGACAGCGAGGCTGGGACAACTGGTTGCCGTGTGCAAGACAGGCAATCAGCCTGTAGCTCCTGTCTTGACTTAAAGTGTGACACTACACRTCTTCACAGGACATCAGGGGACAAGGAGGCTGCAGGTGGGCAGAGTCTCAGGACACCAAAAGCACAACCCAAAGAGAAAGACTGAGCAACTAAATTTGAGTAAAATTGAAAAACTTTTTTTCTGTACAATCAACATTCTTTAGAGATGACAGTGACACACCACAGGCTGGGGAGACTTCTGCAGAGCATCTCTGACAGGGGACGCRGGTCCAGGGCACAAGAGAGTCCTCTGAGTTCAACATTAAGAACAACCAACCCGGCAAAAATGACAAAAACGACTTGAACTGGTTCGTCCCCGAGAGCCCACAGGAGAGGCASGTCACACGTGAGTGGCAACTGGCCAGTGTCACCTGCAGGAAGCCTCAAGCTGCAGACACAGCAAGGCCAGGCACGCCTCCTAGGAGGGACGACCCGGGTGCTGGTGAGGCAGAGCCCAGGGACTGGCAAAGCCACGCCTGCGCCTGCCTGTGTGTGAGCAGGACTCCCCTCGCAGGTTCCCACCCGAGAGGACAGGCGCCCCCCCACCTAGCCTGTGCCTGGGTCGGAGCTGTCCCCCGTGGAGCCTGGTGTGGCCCTCGGTGGAAGGCCACACACTGCAGTGACTGCCACCTACAAAACTCCTCGGCCACAGAGAACCAGCTCGCCTCCTCGCAGGGCCCCGAGGAACCAAGGCCCGGCCGAGCAGGAGACGCTGTCTCCGCAGGTCACCCACTGCACAATCCCCTGTGCACGGCAGCCCCCCAAAATCACTCCATCGTGACAGGGAGCGGACTGGCGGTTGCCAGGGTGGTGGGCTTCTTGGGGCAGCTTTCAGTGGGTCTGGACGGAGGATGACCGCACAGACCGACACGTGTCGGACCCCGTGGGACCGTGCGCCAAGGCCAGTTCTACACTGTGAGTTTTGAAGATTGAGTTTTGAAGGCAGCCCTGCAGGGTGACGGGCGCTGAGAGCCTGCAGCTGCTCTCAGGGGCCTCCTCTGGGTCAGGGCACTTTGGCTGAGGACRGAGGCTGACCAGGACAACGACACGAAGGTGGCAGCAAGAAAACCACAGTGGCACACCCACCCGCAGGGAGAGGCTTTCTCCTGTTCCAGTTTCACAAGAGCCAGTGACCTGCGACGTCCCCCGTTTTTTACCAACAAGGAGCTGTGGTTCAGGCAGCCCGCGCTACTGCCTGGGGTCCCCGGGCTGGTCCGCGTGGTGGCGTCTCCCAGGCCCGTGGGCCGCCTCCTACTCACCATCCCCGCTGCTGCCGTCTAGCGCGGTCTACCCTGCGGGCCGGGCCTCGTACATACCGTGGCTGGTGAGGACCGGGCAGTGTGGGCCAGGGAGTGTCGCGTGCTGTCCATTCCCCCGTGGATGAGGTAGGCTCCTGCGCTGGACACCAGGGGGCTCCCCCCAACATCCATGGTGATGCCCACCATGCTGTGGGAGGGGACTGCTGGTGGGGACGAGGCTGCCACCGTCACCTGGGCGCCCCCCGRGGCCTCGAAGTAGGAAGCCGCGCTGCTGGGGGCGAACATCTGAGGCTCCGGGTTGTAGGCGTAGGCCGTCCGTCTGCAGAGAGAGAGGAGTCACCCTGGACCTGGGCCACCACACCCCGACCTGAGTGGGTGTCAAAGGAACCCAGCTGCAGCCCACGCGGCGAGCGGACAGAGCCATCCAGACGTGGCCTGTGAAGTTCAAAAGCGACTCAAAGCTCGAGGCCACCGACTCTGAAACGTTGGGGACCACGGCCGTCCCGTGGAAACTGCTCAAGGCAGAGCTGTAAGTGGGGGACGGGCACGCGTGGAAGGGCCCTGGGGGGACGCAGCGGCCATGTCTGTGATTGGGGTTCCACGAACYGACACCACGGGGTGAGAATGCACAGAGCCACGCGCACACTCACATGTGGGTTTGCACACACGTGCTGCATACACGGACCGCAGATGAAGGTGTGTAAAGACCGGAGAGGGTGAGCAGGCTGACGCGGCTGCCCAGTGTCAAGTCCCCAGCCTGGGTGTCCTGCCGTCACTCAAGATGCCCCTCCCCCCCATGGCAAGCTGGGGCTCTGTGACTAATTTTGTAACTTCCTATGAGTCCATGATTATCTCAAACCCAGACCATTACACAATGAAATTGTATCATAAAAAGAATTTCCAGGGAGCCGAGCGCGCGCCCGACAGGCCTTCGCCATCTGGATCAGGGTTGACCCCGTGTGTCCAGACTCAGATGTCTTAAGTTACTCTTGGGGGATGCTGTCATTAAGAAGGTGGCCCGTGGTCGTGTTTGCTTATTGGTGGGTACAGGTCAGTGGCAAGGGCCCTCTGGCCTCCTGGAGGCGTACTGTCCCAAGGTGACATCCTGCATAACTCCAGTACAATGCTGAAACCAGGGACATGAACCGGGCACGGCCCATGGACTTGTTTCAACTCTGCCAACTTTACACAGTCACCTCGTCTCTGTGTGGTTTGGGCCTTTGCTGTGGTGCTTTGGAAACCACGTCTCCATCAATCACAGCCCTGAAGCCACAGCTGAGCCCTCAGCACCATCCCCGAAGGATGAAGGGACATCCAGACACACAAGCAAGCCGAAGGCCTTCTCTTTCCAGCCCATGAGCTCACAGGGGATGTGTGATTCTTCTGTCCCCAGCATCACACAGAGCAGAAAACTCTAGAAGTCCCAATCTTAAACTTAGAAGTTAGAGTTGTTTTGGGTTTTGTTTTTGGAGACAGATGTTTCTAGAAGTTAAAAGCATAAAGGTCTGTGGTTGGCTCAGTGTGGTGGCCACACCTACAATCCCAGCGGCTCGGGAGGCTGGAGCAGGAGGATCATGAGTTCAAAGCCAGCCTCAGTAACAGTGAGGTACTAAGCAACTCAGGGAGACCCTGTCTCTAAATAAAATAAAAAAATAGGGCTGGGGATGGGGCTCAGTGGTGAGTGTCCCTGAGTTCAATCCCCGGTACCTCCCCCCTAATAAAAGGTCTGTGGTTGCTGAAACCTCCACAGGACTGGGACACTGCGATGTCTGGACGCTGGGCTTGATGTGGACAAGAGTCTGTTCACACACATGCAGGCGGGAGGGGGCGGGCAGCAGGCCGCCGGGGTCCAGGAGAAGGTACGCACATGGCTCCGTTGGCATAGACGGCGTCTCCCCCTTCCACGTACTGCACCTGCGCGGGGTACACGTGCTGCACGGGCTGGACCTGAAACAACACGTGCTTGGGTTACGGGGGCTTCCTTGCCGTCTATTCCAGGGCACAGCCTTCCGGAGAACGCGAGCGCCTCCGCAGCCCCCGCCAGCCGTGGCACTGTGCTTGGAGAGACAGAGAGACGGAGAGACGGACATCCAGGACCCTGGGGCCGGCAGCCGACAGCTGCTATGGCTCCACAGAGCTGTGCCTGGTTTCTGGGAGCAGCTACGGGGGCGCTGACGCCCCAGCTGGGGTTTACTTAGGGAACAAGCTCCAGGGCCAACACATGCTGCGTGGTACCCCTGGGGAGGGGGCAGAAGCCTGGGGACCAGGTGAGACGCACAGTGTCATCAGGAAGCCCTCCTTGCCCACAGACAGCCGGGGCGGGGGAAGCTTCTAGAGTCACACCCTGGTCTTTGTGTCTCCTCCCTCAAGGCCCGGGGAGGGCCTGACAGAGGGAAACCGAGGGCAGAGACTTTGCTGAGGCCCTGGGTCCCACCGAGCCTGCCAGGAGCCTCTGCCTGGGACCTGCAGCGTCTCCGGCTCCGGAGACACAGGACTGACGGGCACCTTCCTCGGCTGCTGGCCGGTGCAGGAACTCCGGTCTGGCCTATTGGTGTTTTTTTAAATGAAGATTTTTAGGGGTTGGGGCAGGTACTGGGGATCAAAACCAGAGGGGCTTACCCACTGAGCACCTCCTCATCCCTTTTTATTTTTTGTTTTGAGACTGGGTCTTGCTAAGTGGTTTAGGGCCTTGCTAAATTGCTGAGGCTGATCTTGAGCTTGCCATCCTCCCGCCTCAGCCTCCCGAGTGATGGGTTACAGGTGTGCCACTCGGCCCACTGTCAACGAAGTTTTATTCCCACTCGGCCACGCCCGTTTCTTACACGTGGTTTGTGGCGGTTTCTGCCATGGTTACAATGACAGGGTTGAGTGGTCATGCCGGAAACCTCAGGCCCACAGGACCCAAAGAGGTGGTCTTTGGCTTTCCCGTCATCCGCTGACGGCCCCGAGCTCAGCCAGGGTGGGCGAGCTCCCTTCTGAGGCGTGCAGCCGGGCAGAGCGTCGCCTCCTCCCCTGCCTGGGCTGCAGCACGTGCCGGGGGTGGGCTCCCCGGACGGGTGTGTCCCTGGGCTCCACTCACAGGCGCTGGGTGTCCCCAGCTCCCAAACACGTGCTGAATTTACCAATGAACCCAAACCCACCGCCTTTCTCAGCTTGATGCAGCGCCATCTGCAGCAAAAGCATTTTATAATTTTCTTTCTTTTTTTTTTTTTTTAAAGAGAGGGGAGAGAGACAGAGAGAGAGAATTTTTAATATTTATTTTTTAGTTCTCGGCGGACACAACATCTTTGTTGGTATGTGGTGCTGAGGATCGAACCCGGGCCGCACGCATGCCAGGYGAGCGCGCTACCGCCTGAGCCACATCCCCAGCCCATCATTTTATAATTTTCTTACAGAGCTTCCAGAAGAGGACAGATAGAAAGGAGCAGCCCCCAGAACCGCCTGCCCTCAGAGCGCTGGGCCTCTAGGTCCTTACCTGCTGTGGCACTTGCTGCACTCTGGGGAGGGAGATGGGCTGCATCGGGGTCCCTTTGGGAGCAGAGCCCGACGCCTGGACCAGCACCCTCTGGAAGGAAGGGAGAGAGCACAGTGAGTCGCGCCAGCTCCGCACGACTCCGCGAGAGGACTCCACGGGAGCCCCCGGCCCCGCTTCACCCCACTCGAAGGAAGGCCTGACTGGGAGGGCGGCAGGACCCAGGGCCGGAACGTGTGCAGCCGCAACGTCAACCGCGGCCACGCACAGGCACACACAGAAGCACTGGCACCTCCACCCGCCCCGCGGCTTGGCTCCGCAGCAAAGTGCCAAGGCCCTCCTTACACCGAGGGGACCGCTGGGGGAGGAAGGAGCCCTGACAGCGTCTACTCCCCAGCCCTGGGCGAGTGCTTCGCTGCCCCTGTGGCTGTGCAGGCCACACTGGGCCCGTCCCCACTGCACACGTGAGTGGTCTGTCCCACCCGCGCCTCTGCACACTGAATTCTAGAGCCAGGACTTGTGTTTCCCACTGCGTGGGTCCCCCGCTGCCCAACTCCACTACACCCGCAGCCTCCCCGTGAGAAACAAAGGGCCGAGAGGACAGAACTCGGGGTTCTGGTGTCTTCCCACGTGGGCACTGAATGTCCCTGCGAGGAAGGCCTCATAGCACTACGGGGTGGTGATGAGCAGGGGTGCATGTCCTCTAGTGTTCGAGGACGAAACTGCAGGATGAGCCGGGCCCTACTGAGGACACGGGTGCGCTGGCCCTGTGGACTGCAGCTCTCAGGACCTGGCTGGCCTCTGTGGTCACAACTAGAGACCAAACCACACCCATGGCTCAGCTGCCCACAGGTGGGGGGTCAACTGAAGGTGGCCCCCACACGCTGCACGGTCTCTGATGGAGGTGACACAGCTGCTGTGCGGTTGGACCTGAGGACCTCATGCTCAGTGAGCATCGGACACCAACAGGCACAAAGCTTGTGACTCCATTGACAGAAAATGTCCAGAACAGGAGTCCAGAGACAGGATGCGGACTCGGGGGGGCCGGGGGCTGAGGAAAGAGGAAAGGAAGTTACTACTCATGGGGGCTCATGGAATGTTCTAGAACTAGACAGAGGTGATGGTTGTACAATGCTGTGAATACACTAAAAACTACGGAATTTTTCACTTTAAAATGGTTGATTTTGTATTCTGTAAATTTCACCTTCGATGAGAAATGGACTGATGTTCGGTGTTAAGCTAAGCGTGGTAGCGCACAGCGTGATCCCAGTGTCTCGGGAGGCTGAGACAGGAGACTTGAGCCCAGGAATTTGGAGCCAGCCTGGGCAACACAGTGAGACCCCATCTCAAACAAAAGAGAGAGAGCATCACGGTGTTCGTTTGCCACCAACGCTGAGCTGTCGGACGTGGCAGTGGCGAGCTGGGCTGCGGTGTGGCCATTTACACAGAAATTAAACAAGATTGAAATAAGGGGTGAAGCCCAGGCCTCGGCTGCCCGGGTATCTGCCAGGCCTGGGGTGGACAGCGATGGTCAGGAAGCCCGAGGAGTGCACTGTCGCACTCACCTGAGGCACGGTGACCTGAGGGCAGGCTGTGCGCTGTGAGGACAGGAGGGCCCTCAGCAGACACAAGTAGCCTCTGTCCCCCAGGGCAGGGCCGCTGGGCGGGAGGCAGGAGGGCAGGGGAGGGTGTTGCCAGATGCATGTGGGGCAAGAGGAGGAGCCCCAGGCAGCCCCTTGGCCCGCGAGGATGCCATGTTCAGGGCGGAGTCCACCCAGGAGCGGGGTGCCTGGGAGAGGGGCTTGGCCAAGGGCCGAGGCAGCAAGGGGCGGGGGGCTGCTGACCCTTCTGGGGGCTGGCTCAAGGGTGCAGGAAAACGAGTCAATTAGGTTCAACTTGCAGGATGGCGGCATCTGCTCAGGCCCCTCTGTACCCCCAGAGGGGCTCCGAAGGCCTTCCCTGCTTGGCTGAGCGCATCTGACGGTCCATTCTAACTGGACGAGCTGTTCCCGTGTGCGCCTGGCCCTTTCTGCTGGACTGTGCTTCTCTCCCCTTAATCACTCTTCTTGCCGTGCTCCTGCGAAGTCGTCCATTGTGGGTGGTCCTGAGGCCACCGAGGGCCTCTGTGCGCATCCACAAGCTTCCAGTCTGTTCCCTGTGGTCTAGGCCCCTTGGCCCACGGGGGCTTCCTGACGTATTTCAAGCTGCGGGAGACACCCTGAGGGCGCTCCAGACCCTGAGAGCCTCCCTCTGCCAATTTTAAACCACATATTCACCTCCTAGTGCTCCAACCAAATGCTAAGAATCCTAACTTACTTTTTGCCTTAGGCACAAAGTCTTTCTGTGTAAGAGTCATTTCCAAGGTACGAGAAAGCGTCCATTGAAAGGCACGAGTCAGACTGGGGGTGCTTCTTACTCAGCGTATATTACGCTGTTCTTGTCAGGACCTGCGTGGCAAGGGCAAAGGCCAGGGCATGTCACATGGGGTGCCTGTTCTGCAGGAGTGGTCTTGGGGCTAGGAAGTCTGTTTACAAAACTACAGTTCTCTCTCTCTGTTGGGCACAGTAGTGCACCTCTGCAATCTCAGCTACGCGGAAGACGGAGGCAGGAGGATAGCAAGTTGGAGGCCAGCCTCAGCGACTGCATGAGACTCTGTCTCAAAATAAAAAGGGCTGGGCGTGTAGCTCAGTGGCAGAGCCCCCCAAGTTCAGTCCCTAGCACCACACACACACTTTTCTTTTTCCTTTTTGTTAATTCAAGTGTTTTTCAAAACCACGGGGCATGCGTCCACGCAGGGGCCCCTGGTTTGTACCAGAATGGCCCCAATGGCAGGGCACTGTTACCTGAGGGGATGCTGGCACAGGCTGGGCTGCCGCTGCCGCTGGACGCAGAGCCACGGATGCAGGTGAATCGGATCCACCCTCGGAATTCTGCATGCTCAGTTCTGGAAGGCGGAGAGACAGTGAGTGGGCAGGACGCCCGCACAGCGCGAGGGCAGCGCCCACATTCCAGAGCAGCAAGCAGAAGTCACAGCCGGCAAAGCTGGAGCAGGCAGCCTGGTGGCACCCGCCGGCAAGCGGGAGGGGACGGGGTGTAAATTATGCCAATCAGGAGAGAGGGAGGAGAGGGCACCCCTCCAGATACTAACCACAGCGGGCCCCCAGTCCCCTCCCGCAGGACCACGATTCTCTCCACATCTGGCCAGGCTGAACTGCCCCCAGGCCAGGGCGGCTGCTCCTTAATGCCCAGCAGAGCAAACGCTCTCGATGGGCGCTTGCTGTGTGCAGCTGCCGCGCGCCAAGCCCCTGCCGGCAGCTCTCCCACTGGGACTCCACTGGCATCTGGGGCTGCACCCTTACACCGGGCCTCGGGCGGTGGCCTCCACCCACCGGCCAGGGGTGCCCCAGCAGCCACGGCACCCCCAGGCTCCAGACCTTGCCCAGGGCTGTCAGCGAGGCAGAATCATCCCCTCGAGCACCACTGGCCCAGGGCTGAGCAGCGGGTCCACGAGGGACCAGAGAAATGGCACACTCCGTCCTGGGTGGGTGTGAATCCTCAGGAACTCCAGCTGAAAGTACAGACTGAGTTCTGCTCTCAGCCCAGAGGCGAGCACACAGGCCTGTCTCTGAGCTGGCAGATGCATACATCTTTCAAATGGGAAGTTCAAAGATTCTATACAAGGCTGGATATACAGTGGCCACGCCTGTCATATCAGCCATTTGGGAGGCTGAGGCAGGAGGATGACAAGTTCAAGGACAGCCTGTGAAGTCTAGCAACAGTTGTCTCTAAATTAAAAAAAAAAAAAGGCTGGGGAGCAGCTCAGGGGTAAAGCACCCCTAGGTTCTATTCCCAGTACCCGCGCCTCACCCCCCACTACCCACAAAGAAACTAAATTAAAAGAAGTATTAAAATCAGAACAAAGGAGAAGACCAGACAGATGACAGCCTAGGCCAAACTGTCTTCTCTTTCTTTTTGGCAGTGCTGGGTGGRACCAGGGCTGCACAAATGCTGGGCAAGCGCTCTCCCCGTCCGTCTCCCTTTAAACAGACAATCGGCTGCTTTACACCTGTGAGAAGCACCTAGGTCCTCAGACTTAAAGGAGAGGTGGCTTTGTGACCAGGCACACACTTGTCCTGGTCCTAAAGTGGACGCAACTGGACCAGAAAGTTTCCTAGACCCAAAAGGGTCCCACCTCTAAGAATAAGTGAAGATTTAAAAACTTTAAAATCTTTACTTTTTTTTAATGTGAAGCAAAACTCTTAACCGCTTAAAGAGCTTCCTAAGGAGAGCAGGGCTGCTGCTTAGTCCTGTGAGGGCTGTCCCCGACCTCCCGCACCTGCCCTAGCGCCTGGGGTGCAGTGGGGAGCCGCGGGGACCCCAGGCGGGGCGTGGGGCGTCCTTCTGTTCAGGGGGCTTGACTCCGTCCTGGCCACTAGATGGCCCCAGAGCCGCGCGCTGTTGGGTGGGGCGGGCAGAGGCTGGCCTCCCGCGGTCTCTTCTCCCCTCCGCAGACCTGACCTGGGGTTGCACTTCGCCAAAYGTTCACACTGGCTTCTGCCCTCTGCCAGCTCTCTCCCATCGGAAGCAGCGAGGTGACGCCAGCGGTGGCGGGAGGAAAGGGCAGGACCAGAACCTGCCAGGCAGGGAACCTTGAGGACCCAGAGGGAGGGCCGGCTCAGGCCCAGGCCCTGCCCTGCCGGAGAAAACGATCGCTCTGTGGTCCAGATCTCAGCGGAACCGGGCAGAGGAGGTGAGCCAGGCCCTCTGGACCGCCAGTCACAACGTCACAGGAGCTTCCACGCTCCATCGTCCCGTCCCCTCAGCTAACCCAGGTGCCCGCTCACTGTCCACGGTCAGGGGTGAGACAGTGGCTTTCACCAGGGGCACACCCCAGTGCACACCTGTGGGGGTGGCAGAAGGCAGCAGCCTGGTGACCACAGGAGGCAGGACAGTGAGCTGGGGTTGGGGAATCCTGAGAGGGAGCCACAGCCTGCCACCAAGTCCACCCAATCACTGACCCACTAACGAATCAGAGACCTGGGGGGACGCCCACAGCTCAGGGGCCCCTATGAGAGTGCTGAGCACCGGGAAGGCAGTGAGTGGCCCTGGGGAACTTGGCAGAATCCCGAGTTCCCAGCACACCAGCCAGGATGCCTGGGACCCTGGAAAATCAAGAACACACCTGTGACCCCAGTGACACGGGAGGCTGAGGCAGGAGGATCACAAGTTTGAGGCCCGCCTGGGCAACTTYGTGAGGCCCATCTAATTTAATCTAAAAATAAAATGGCTGGAGTGTAGCTCAGTGGCAGAGCACTCCTAGGTTCGACCCACAGCACCAAAAACAAATAAATAAATAAATGACAATAATCATGGCCTATGAGAAGAAATAGGAAAATGTAACCTATTCTCAAGGGAAACAATAAAAGGGGTCAATTACAATTGAACCCAAGATATTCAGGACGATATGGAGAGAAGACAAGGAGTGAGATTCGTGCTAAAGTAAGTCCAAGAACTTGAGGGAGCTGCACCCCTAGTGAATGGGCTTCCACAAGCAGAAACCACTGGACAGAGGACAGCGACCCTGGGTGGCAGGTCTCGGCGCACTTCACAAGAGCGGAATCCCACAGAGGACAGTGTGCTCGACTGCAGTGGAGGACGACATCAGCAAGGTGGCAGGAGAGTGACAAGCATTTGAAACAGTTAAATGTTCTATTAGCCCAGGTGACCTATTAGCCATGGGTGACCCATAAGCCACAAGGGAAATTAGAAAATTTGAACTGAATGATAACAAAACACCATTTATCAAAATTTGTGCTTGGGCTTGCAGGTGCACACCTGCGATCCCAGAGACTCAGGAGCCTGAGGCAGGAGGATCTCAAGTTCAAGACCCGCCTGGACACTTAGTGAGACCCTGTCTCAAAATACAAAGTAAAAAAGGGCTGGGGATGTAGCTCAGGGGTAAAGTGCCCCCGGGTCAACCCCCAAATCCCCAGGACAAGAGGAGAATTTGTGGGATGCATCTAAAGCAGCACTCGGAGGGAAATGTTCAGCTCCAAACTCTTACATTATAAAAAGGGCATCGGAACCATTCAAGAAGCYGTAAAAAGACAATCAAATTAAACTTGAATCACATAGGAAAAAAGAGAAAAAATAGTACAGAACAGAATTAATGACTTAAAACTTTGTAAATGATGGAGGAAATGAATAAACAAAATTTTTTCAAGAGAGAAGTGACCCTCGAGCCACGGAGAGCGACATGGAGGAAAGCAAACACAGATTCCTAAGAAAGAAGCCAACCTGCAAAGGCCCCACTGTGTGACTCCACCGCCTCTGGAAGGGGCGGAAGCAGGGCCAGGGAGTGGGGGCAGTGGTCAGGGCCCAGGGAGGGAGGGCAGGTGGGCACCGAGGGCCCCGGGCAGCCACCACAGGGAGCCTCACCTGGGCCAGGGCGACGGCGCCTCTCCTAACCCACCACCGAGAGTGGGAGAGAAACCTCTGCATCCTACTGTCAGATCTGCTGGGGACCTAAATCTGCTCTACAAATGTGAGTCTGGTGGGTGGAGGGGTGTTGGTAAACCCCAAAAGACTGACGAGAGGGAAGAAGAAATAGGCCACACACACATGTGCAGTCTCAGCACTAGAAGGAGACACACTGCTCCTCAGCCTYGAGAAGCCCAAGGGGAACAAGGAACTTTTTGAAGAGCGAAGCCGACAGGTTCAACAATTCAGACCCAACAAATGGTTTTCTAAAAGAAAGACACGACATCCCCAAACTGACCCAAGACGAAACAGAAGGCGTGAACGTCACTCCCTGATGAAGAGGTCCAGTCGGTCCTGGAAACCTGCCCCAAGGCCACTCAGGCGCCGGCGGCCCCACCGACGAGGGCTGCTGAATGCCGCGAGGGGTTCACACCGACTCCACCAGAACACGGCAGAGGAGGGGGTGCCGCTCGGCTCAGCGAGGTCAGCACACCCTCAGGTCCCACTCACACGGGGAAGCTTTTAGACACCCTCTCTCAAGAACAGACCTGCAAAGGCATCAGCAAGAGATCGGTAAATCAGAACCCACAGAATACAGCCCAGAGAACCCATATTTAGTTTGTGAATTGAATTCTTCATTCTAACAGAGCCTTGGCTCTTTTCTTCATCAGCTGATTTTTGAAAAAGATCAAACAGGGAGAGAAAAGTCTAGTGCCAGGGCAGCAGGGTCTCCCTTTCTGGGGTGAGGAATTGACCTCAACCCCTACCTCCCACTAGACATAAAAATGTTCAATCAGCGACTTCCACATAAACTGCTAAGAGGAAACAATAGGGTCGCGGGCAGAGTTTTCTTAGCTAGGGTACAGAAAGCAATAAGCAGATAAAAAACTAAAAAGGTTTTATCAAAATTTAAAAACTTTTCTCATTAAAATACTCCATTAAGATCATGAATAGGTAAGCCACAGTCTGGGAGAAAATATCTGCAAAATGTTCAACAATAAAGACAAATAACTGACGAGGGAGAATGGGCAAGAGACTTGGTGGGCACTTCACAAAGATGCACAGGTGCCCCAAGACCACTGGACCTCGTTGGTCACTAGGGAAAGGCAAATTAAAACCACCAAGATGTGCCACCAAAGGCTCACCAGATGGCTACAGCAAACAAAACCAGCCATGTCCCCTTGTCGGGAGTGCCTGCCACAACTGAAGCACTCGCAAGTCGCTTGTGGGGTGTGACGACACCACCCGGCTGGGCAAGGTCTGCACGTTTCCTAACAGGTCAGGCCTAYGCTTCACCCCCGAAATTCCTTGCCCTGGTATGTATCCAAGAAACAGGAAAACGTCACGTCCTCAAACACACACCAAGGCTGCACACACACATGCATAAGAGCTCCATTCAAAACAGCCAGAATGCAGGAAAAACCCGGAAGTTCCTCATCAGGAGAGTGGAAGAGAATAGTAGGC